TGCCAAAACTTTCACGAGGCCGTAGGTGAAACTCAAGAGCGTAGAAACGCTGAATTTGAATAGACAAGGTTGAGCATGGGCAGGAGGTCAGTGCCCTAAAATTTCAGCTTCCTAAACCCCGTGGTTCCCGAGATATTAATTTACCCGTAAAAAACTTTCACGGGGCTGTACATGTTACCCGCCGGTACAGGAAGCTGAATTTGAATGGGCAAGGTTCAACGTGGACAAGGGATCATTACCCTCCAATTTCAGCCTCCTAGACTAAGTGGTTCACGAGATATTAATTTATCCGTAAAAAACTTACACAGGGCCATACGTGTTACCCGCAGGTAGCTGACTTTAAATTTGCGGGGTCACACGTGGATGGGCAACGTTCCACTAAATTTCAGCTTCCTAACTTTTGTGGTTCCCGAGTTGAAAGTTGCGGACAAGTTGCTGCGGACACACACAACGCATACAAGCACAAACATACACAGACAACCCCGTGACAATGTGCGTTTTGTACTGCTATTACACAGCACAAACAACAGCAACCGCCGACTTGACTCTCAAAAGCGTCAGCCTGGATCACTGGGCACATCAGTCACCCACTAAACACACCTTTCCAGAGTATCGATGAAAACTCGACTTGAAACGACCGCGCACCATGCGCTTGTTTTGTGCCCTTCGGGTTCGAGTTCGGATTGCGAAAATCGCCAGCTCCTTTTTAGGGGTGGTTTTCGGTGAGTGCATTCGGGACTGCTTTCAACTTGTACGGTGAACGAAAACAACTCGCTGTGGGCTTTTTTCCCGTTAATTTTGTCTCTGTCTCCAGTTTTTGCCTCCAAGCAACGTCTCAGCTGGAAAAATTGTTTTGGTTTTCCGCCAAACGAGCCGATTTTTAGTAGCTGTCTACGTTCCGGTCACATTTTAAAAAAATGCTGAGCCGAGTTTTAGTAGCTGCCAAAATGCTGATGCGCCAAAGGGTGCTCACCGCGGGGCTAAGTCTCATTCAAAATAGGAGGTGAGCGCTTTTGGTCCATCATTGCGCGGTAAATTCGAGTACCTAATCGGTTGGTGGTTCATTCACTCGGCCCCTTCGCACGCTTTCCCTTATGGCTTCCCGGTTTGTAGTGCTATCGTGCGGTGTCCCCTCGCGGCGCGCTAATTTTCGCTCGATCACTTTCCTCACACATATTTTCGCGTGGATCGTCTTGAATTTCACTGAAAGTGAGGGGAGGGTATGTGCCAAAAAGAAGCCCTTTTGTGTTACCCGGAGAGTAAATGCGGTGTACCAAGTGTAAGTTGTTGTTTGACAAAGGTCGACGAAGAGGGGGCACGAGGCGGTGGCCCCGCGGCGGGACAAAATTGGGTAATTTGGCTGGCTGAAAGGCCTTCCCAGTTTTCTTGGTTCCCGAGCTAGCGATTTTCACGCCAAGAAACCTCACGGGGCCGTATGTGGGTACTACGACCCCCCACCCGCGGGCTGAATTTGAAATCTTTGAGTTCTACTTGGGCTGGAAACATAATCCCAAAATTTCAGCTCTGT